TGTTGTTTGCTTCTCACCGATGAACAACACAAAAGTACGTCTTCACGATCACGATGAATATCTAAACAAAGATATTTTCCTGAAAGGAATAGAGATATTTACTAAAATAATACCATCTGTTGCAAATGCTTAAACGAATATGGTATACATTATTATGCATCAGATTTTAAAAGTGCCATAGTCGAATGTTTAGAACTACTGATAGCTGAATTCGATCATCCTACCAGTGATAAGTGTATTAATCAGAATCTTTTGAGTTTAAGAAATCGCAATTAATGTGCAATGACATCCTAAGTCAATATATATTTCTATATTATATATTTCTATATATTATTCTATATATTGTATATATATATATATAGAATATTATTCTATATTATTCTATATATTGTTATACTTTTAAATTTTTATTATTGTTGGATGAAGTTGAAAGATATACATATTCAAATGAGAAACAGTGTAATACAAGAAAAGAAGAACAAAGTGAATATCTTTGAAGAAAGGATGAGTGACAACTCAATTTAAAAATGAATGGAATGTAACGTGGATTACTATATCAAGGAAACGATATAGAATTTAGTAAATTGTGAACACTAAGAAATCGAATGCAAGATTTGTATATCTGAAGAATACAAGGAAACAATGGTGTCAATGGCTATAAATGGGACCAAAGCAGTCTGCTCAAATTAGAGAAACTTCTAAATATTATTTCTACGTGAAGTATTTGCAGTAAATACAATATTCACATAAAGTATACATACAAATGTTTTATATCGAAGAAAAAATATTTTTGTAAGGCATCCAGAAGCGTGCATTTTGGTAATGGAGAGTCATCGAGACATCGAGGGAAACAAAATAATCAAAATATTTTGTAATGCATATATTTTAAAGAAGTAAGTCAGAGCGATGTATTAACGTGATCAATGTTACGAATAAAGTAAAGGAGAGAAATGTATGTACAGAGAAATAATTCGCATAAGAGACCATCTATTGATTTTGGAGGTAAAATACCTAGGACGTTATCGAAGGAATAGTGGCGAGAGAGAGAAAGAGAGAGAGAGAAAGAAAGAGAGAAAGAGAGAGTATGTGTGTGTGAGTGAAAGAGGAGAAAAAAAAAACGATGAGATTTTTCGCGCGAAATTCGGAGCGAAGAGGAGAGAACGAGACGAAAGGA